TCTCGGTCGACCAAGATTGTTTTTAGTCGGGGACAGCCCTAGATTTCATAAGTAGAAATGGGGTCCTCTGTCGGGTTCTTGAGGGGGAGTAGGGCAGATTTGGTTAGATTTGTTTGATAACTTGAGATGGAGCTGAATTTGTCTATGATCTTCAAAGCGTTTGGGAGAGATTGAGATGCATTGTCTAGATAAAGTAAGATGTCATCTGCGTATAATGAGATGACGTGATCTGTATATTTGAAAGATATTGGTGGAATTTGCCTGGGCCAGGGGCTCCATAGACAACAGAAATAGCAAATGTGAGATGGGATCACCTTGCCTGCTACTTCTATTTATTCTGAACGGAGCAGAGCAGGTATTGCCTGTTATTACTATGACTGAGGTATTAGCCTTTAGTATTTTAATAATATTAGTGAATTTGTAGCTAAGTCCCATATGTTCCAAAAACGACGAAAATATGACCATTCTAGTCTATCAAAAAGCTTTTTCTGTGTCCAGAGAGAGAACTGCTCAAAGAGATTTGGTTTCTGATTAAGCATGTAAGATACGTAATAGACGACAGAGGTTATCAGAGGACAATAGATTTTTAACAAACACGCAATGGTCTGTATATACCAATTTGGTTAAGTAAGTTTAGAGACGGGATGACAGAATTTTAGAAAAATAATTTGGAGTAATAGTTTACCTAATTGGTTCCAAAATGTTAAATGGACCTCAGGAGGAATACCATTCCAAACAGGTGATTTGCCTTTTATTAATGTTATCCAATGCCCTTTTGAGTTCATGTTGAGAGAAGAGGAGTTATTTTATCTTTTAAAAAGGACTCAATCTGGCTTGGTGTGGATTTACAATCAGAGGTGTATAATTCTACATAGAAAGGGAGAGTCTTTGGTTGATTTTAAATTGGGTTCTGATAGTAATTCACCTGATTCAGATTCAATGTTTGCAATATCCGCTAATTGATCATTACTGCGAAGCTTGTTGGCCAGTAAACGACTTGGATGTTTACCATGGGAGTATTGGAGAGCCAATAATATAGGCCTACTCTAGGCTACTGTCAATAAAATGTGGAGTAAATGTTACTTGTACAAGGTAAACTTCTAAACAGATATTTATATTATTGTGGAAGTGTTTATTCATATCCTTGAATTGCGCAACGAGCATTACATAAGCTCCCACAGCAGCGCTTATAAGCGGGAACAACAAATAAGTGTTGCCTATAAAAAGAATAACCCTCATTTGGATAGGCTACAAATTACAAAATAAATAAAGTAAACAAAATAAGTTCAAATTTAATTACGGTGCAAATAAGTTTAATGCACAAAACAGAATATTGTAGCCTAGGCTACATTTATTTAGAATAAGATACATCAGTGAATACAGGCTTTGAAAATTAATGCAATGAAGAACCATTCTGACTATTTTTCTTTTCATTATATGTTAACCTACCTAAAGGTTTCTGGCTAGGAACACAAGCATGTTCACCTTTTCTGGCTTTAATAGACTACAGAGTGGGGTAACAATATTGCCTACTGAAACACGTTCAGACGGAATGGTTTTTGCACAGATGGAGAGGTATTCGAGAGCGACGTTGGCCATGAGCGGAAAGGGATGTCTTCTATGGTGAACATGCGCACTCTATCTCGGTTGAAATTGTCTGAAATCACCATTGAAAGGGTCTCTTATCACACTGTAGGCCTACAACGTTTGGTTCCAAATCACCATTCAACGTTATCGGTACCATATGTCACCATATGATTGGTTTAGATTTATTTATTTGCACTCAAGAAAATACAATCTTGGTAAGATTTCCACATTGTAGTCTAATGATTAGACTTTAATCGGTGGTTTGTGCATGAAACAGGCTGCATTACAGATCATTTACTGCATTGCTAGGCAATGCAACGACGCGCTCCCCCCTGCCCTGGGTATTTAAAAAAATAGACGATACAATCGTATGTCAATGATGTTTGGACAGGTCGATGGGACGATGTGTCATTCCAGACATCGCCCAACCCTAGTCCCCAGCACAAGGTGCACCTGTGTAATGATCATGCTGTTTAATCAGCTTCTTGATATGCTACACCTGTCAGGTGGATGGATTATCATGGCAAAGGACAAATGCTCACTAACAGGGATGTAAACACATTTAGAAAGAAATAAGCTTTTTGTGCGTATGCAACATTAATGGGATATTTTATTTCCGCTCATGAAACATGGGACCAACACTTCACATGTTGCGTTTTATATTTTTGTTCAGTGTAGCTGGCAAACATTTTGTTGTGAATTTCATACTGCAATTAGATCATCTGGCGCATGCTGCACAACAGTGAGTGACTCAAGGCTCGGGTCTCCTCTTTGTGTGCTTGTAAACAAACACCATATGACGTGACTGGGGACTACCATAAGCTTCATAATAATGTGATAGGTGAAGTTAAGAACGCAATGTTTTTATCTCCTAATTTATTACACAAGTTGACTGCAGGTATTTACTTAAAAAGTAGCTACAAATATTCACATTTCTTAAACTTCAAATAAATAGTTTCAATGGTATTGAAAAACCATCCTGTGGCTTTTTCCAAATACCCCGGTATACGGTATACCGCCCAAGCCTACCAGTTTGTACAAATGGTTCTCTGTTCTATGTGCGTCATTTTGGAGCAGGTGTGTTTCTTGGAACATTGCTATATCAATATGGTTTCTTGCTAGAATATCAAGACACCTGGAACGTTTGATAGGACTATTAAGGCCTTTCAAATATCACAAGAGAATAGCTAGTCTTGCCATTGTTTTTCTAAAATGTAATTGTTATCTTTGGTGTTGATAAGCCCATAGATGTAAAATAAAAAGCAGGACCCACAGGGAAACCCACCCATTGGTCGCTCCCCACCCAGAAGACCCTCAATATAAACCGTTCCTGGTTCCCCCCACCATGCACTATAATTACAGGGTTGTAGCATAATGGCGAGTGGCAGACTTACACATGGAATCTCTTAAGCAGCATATTTTTTGGTCTTAAGGTATAAAATACACTGAGTATACAAAACATTAAGAACACCTGCTCTTTCCATGATATAGACTGACCAGGGGAATCCAGGTGAAAGCTATGGTTATTGATGTCACTTGTTAAATCCACTTCAATCAGTGTAGATGAAGGGGAGGAGACAGGTTTTTAAGCCTTGAGACATGGACATGTGTGGCATTTAAAGGGTGAATGGGCAAGACAAAAGATTTGTGCCTTTAAACGGGGTATGGTAGTAGGTTCCATGCGCACCTGTTGGTGTCATGACCTGCAACGCTGCTGGGTTTTTCACACTCAATAGTTAGCCGTGTTTATCAAGAATGATCCACCACACAAAGGACATCTAGCCAACTTGACACAACTGTGGGATGCATTGTAGTCAACATTGACCAGCGTCCCTGTGGAACGCTTTCGACACTGAGTTCATGCCCCGACGAATTGTGGCTGTTCTGAGGTCGTCAGAGGGAGGGGGGGAGGTGTTCCTAATGTTTGGTATACTCAGTGTAAGAAATAATAATAATAATAAAGTCAAACATGAAATAAGTAACCAATTCAGACCTTTACAGTTGTTGGCAGAAAATGAAAACAAAAAGATGCGAGATATGCAAGCCTAATGCCTAAACAGTAAAAATAGGATAGCTGTAGAAGCAACAGCACTTAATACATGATCTTCATTTATTATTAGCAATATGATTTGAATTACCTTAAACACAAATTTGCCCTCCTTTTTAAGTTCTCTATATATACAAGTCCTCCCTGGGAGATAAATTCAGTATCCCATATGGGCCTGGCCGTCTCTCCTTGCCAGTAGCAAAAAATAAATATAAAACAATTGAAGGGGAATAGCTGCCAACTTATATTGCTATATTTAGTTAGCCCAAATGGATTCAATGCGCTGTAGCCACACAAGAAAGCAGTCCCAGTACATATGACACCTCCATATATTGTTCATTAATTCGCTTCTTGTCATCACTGTGTAAATATCCTGGATCATAGGCAATATAATTTTAACAAGTTCAATGGACAGCAATAATAGTAATATTGTTCCTTGTACCCAATAATGAGGGGTTTTCCTCATTGTCTTATACTGAGGGTAACATCAGGGCAGCGGTCTGCAATGTTAAGCAGTGGCATGGGACCCAACTACTCCTGCCCGAACAGTTCATAGAAAAGACTGCTCATGAAGCTGAAAACGCAAATATGTTTTGGGCACTTATCTCAAACTCGTTTCTCATGGCTCTCTTTTCACTCTTCAGCAGACATAGTGAGAAATATGTTTAGAACATTAAATCTCAATAGTATCGAATCGCAATACATATAGAATCGTGATGCGTACAATCGCAATACATATCGTATCGGCACCTAAGTATCGTGATAATATCATATTGTGAGGTCCCCGGCAATTCCCAGCCCTAATGTACTGTGTATGTTCATTATGTCATCAGCTGCATATGGTAATGTATTAAAGTAACTGTCCAGTGTTTCCAGATTTCTATGAAATATAACTTATAATTAATTACAAAATGAGTTAAATAATTTTCCTTCCAAAAAATGGTGATTTAGGTATGTTAAAAAGCAGCTTTTCTGTGTTTGAATGGTGTGGGCCTAACCCAACAACAGAATGTTGTCAGCGTATACTGGTAATTACAAATATTAATGCCAGAAGAACGCTGATTAGCCAGCTCAGCCTCCTGAGGAGGATGACATGTTCTATGAGGAAATGGCAAGCAATTTTTAAATGGCCTGTTTGAGATACAAGTTTGAGGTGGGGTTTTTGAAGTATTTCTTTCTCCAATGTATGCTTTGACCACTTACGAACGAGTATAGGATGAGTCAACAACAACATTTTGGTATGAGTTAACGGAATATGTATTTTTAAAAGTGAGATTTTCACAGGACAGTTGTAAAAATTATCTTTTTAGATGAGCTTCCGACGATAGACACAGATAGCGATGTGGATGAAGCTGAAGCTGATCAGGGAAAGGAGGAGGATGGTGTGGGGGAGATCTCTGACTGTGAGTCGGAGTCCTGCGCTGGGGAACCAAAAGAATCATCACCTAAACCCACAACGGTGAGTAAACTAGAGCTTTACTCAAACTTTACCAATACTACAAAAAACAATAAGATAAAATACTATGTATAATCACATCTAGAAATACTAAATAAAAATGGTTTATTGAAATAAATAATAACTCAGACATTTCATATTGTTGTTTAAGACAAATATACTATTGCTAAAAATCCATTATGCTACGCAAACAATACCGTACACAAACAATACTTTAAAGACTACAAAAATGTACAGAGGCAAATTACCGGGTATGGCGTTATAAGAGTTTCAGCCATGTTCAATGACACTAGGTGGTGCTATGCACCTTACAGTGCGTTGTTTTGTTCCCTCTGCATTTATATGACAGTGTGACAGTGCTGTGTTTACTATTGTCTACCCCCAGTTTAATCTAATCTCTTCACTCATGAGCATAATGGTAAATATGTGCACGTGTATAGCAACATGTCAATAGCATCATGATGGTTTCCCGTATCATACAGTCAGTATGTCTGCAGGGCCACATGGTTTGCCCATTAGGCTATACCTGATAAAATATTCTACCACTAGGTGGAGTATTCAAAAACAAACTGACAGAATAGGTCTGGCAGGCCAATACCAACAAAGTACAATGCAGTACACTTTCCTCTGTAGCTCAGTTGGTAGTGCATGGCGCTTGCAATGCCAGGATAGTGGGTTCAATTTCCGGGACCATCTGTAAGTAAAATGTATGCACGCATGGCCTCCTTGTAGCTCAGTTGGTAGAGCATGGCGCTTGCAATGCCAGGGTTGTGGGTTCGATTCCCACGGGGGGCCAGTATGAAAATGTATGCGCTCACTAACTGTAAGTCACTCTGGATAAGAGCGTCTGCTAAATAATGTAAATGTAAGTTGCTTTGAATAAAAGCATATTCTACACTGAGTGTACAGAACATTATGAACACCTGCTCTTTCCATGACATAGACTGACCAGGTTAAAGCTGTGATCCTCACCTGTTAAATCCAGGATTTCTAAGCCTTGAGACAATTGAGACATGGATTGTGTATGTGTGCCATTCAGAGGTTGAATGGACAAGACAAAATATTTAAGTGCCTTTGAACGGGGTATGATATCAGGTGCCAGGCGCACCGGTTTAAGTGTGTCAAGGACCACAACTCTGCTGGGTTTTTCACGCTCCACAGTTTCCAGTGTGTATCAAGAATGGTCCACCACCCAAAGGACATCCAGCCAACTTGACACAAACTGTGGGAAGCATTGGAGCATCCTTATGGAAAGCTTTCGACACCTTGTAGAGTTCATCTCCCGACGAATTGAGGCTGTTCTGAGGGCCAAAGTGGGTGCATCTCAATATTAGGAACATGTTCCTAATGTTTTATACACTCAGTGGTGTATATTTTAAGTTCAGGTCGTGTTCTAAATTGTTACAGTTCACTAGTAGCGTTGCTGAATGGAGCACTGTCTATGTGGGGAGAGGGTAGGCCACGTTCCAAAACTGCCAGTAGCCACTTAACCAATGTCCATGTATCAATAAACAAAAAAATCTATTTCAGGCAATATACACGTTTAACCTACTTTTTCTGGAAGTTTTAAGTTTGTTTGTCTCTAAAGTTATCTATATTTAATTGTGGGAAGGGGGCTATTCTTTAGTGCTGCCTGACCTAGGTTTACATTGTTTACATCATGAGATACAAACAGCCTATTAGATGACCCATTATTCAATATTTTACATTCAACGTTGTTAATGTGATTGACATAAGTCAATCTGTTATATTTTATGGCGGTAATATGTTTGTCTTTAGCCTACCTGCTCACATGTAATGACTGAACAGGGAAAGGAGGCTGCCTTTATGTCATGTGTTGTACAGTGGAGGCTTGCATTATGTCACTCTTCAGAAGTCATTCAACAGTGTTTGTTAAAGGTTGGCCAGACACCTTGAGAATGTACAAGGAGTGGTGTTCTGTTCACTCCAGTGTTTTCCAAAGTTCTAGAATATTCTAATATATGGCTTTGGGATTGTTCAACTAGCGGCCCACCCGTGGTCTCTACTGATCCCCGCCCACTGACATTTTGAATGATCAATTAAATCATCGATTGGTTAAAGCTTACAGGTAAGGATGGAAATAATACTCTGACCCTCTTGAGGACTAGAGTTGTGTTGAACCCGCCAGATGAGGATTAAAGTGCCTTCGAGAAAGTGTTCACACCCCTTGACTTTTTCCACATTTTGTTGTCACATCCTGAATTCTAAATGAATTAAATTGAGATTGTGTCACTGGCCTACACCCAATACCCCATAATGTCGAAGTGGAATGATGTTTTCACACATTTTTACAAATTAATAAAAATTAAACAGCTAAAATGTCTTGAGTCAATAAGTATTAAATCCCTTTGTTATTACAAGCCTAAATCAATTCAGGAGTAAAATGTGCTTAACAAGGCACAAGTTGCATGGACTCTCTGTATGCAATAATAGTGTTTAACATGATTTTTGAATGACTACCTCATCTCTGTATCGCACACATTAAACTATCTGTAAGGTCCCTCAGTCGAGCAGTGAATTTCAAACACAGATTCAACCACAAAGAACAGGGAGGTTTTCCAGTGCCTCGCAAAGAAGGGCACCTATTGGAAAATAAGTTAAAAATTAAAAAATTAAGCAGGCGTTGAATATCCCTTTGAGCATTGTGAAGTTAGTATTTACACTTTGGATGGTGTATCAATACACCCAGTCACTACAAAAATACAGGCGTCCTTCCTAACTCAGTTGCTGGAGAGGAAGGAAACCACTCAGGGATTTCATCATGAGGCCAATGGTGACTTTAAAACAGTTACAGAGTTTAATGTCTGTGATAGGAGAAAACTGAGGATGGATAAACAACATTGCAGTTACTCCACAATACTAACCTAATTGACAGAGTAAAAGAAGGAAGCCTAAACATGCATCCTATTTGCAATAAGTCACTAAAGTAAAACTGCAAAAAATATGGCAAAGAAATTAACTATGTCCAGAATACAAAGTGTTATGTTTGGGCAAATCCAACACAACACATTACTGAGTACCACTCTCCATATTTTCAAGCATAGTGGTGGCTGAATAATGTTATGGGTATGCTTGTAATCGTTTAGGACTGGGGAGTTTTTCAGGATAAAAAAGAAATGGAATGGAGCTAAGCACAGGCAAAATCCTAGAGGAAAACCTGGTTGTCTGCTTTCCACTAGATGCTGGGAGATGAATTCACCTTTCAGCAGGACAATAACATAAAACACAAGGCCCAATAATAGTGCTGAGCGATTAGTGCTTTTTGGGGTCTGTTTGATTTCTATAATTTGTTTTACATTAAATGCACTATGCATTATGTGGGTTGAATGTTGTAAACACTGAATAAAACAATTAATAAAAGTCACATGATGGTAGTGACTGCCCATTACTGCTTATCACTTAACTGCCTATGCTGTCTGACAATCACTATTTTACTAGTTCTTCAAATAAACTTTTATGACTGCTGAATACCAACTATCAATCACTTAGATCATGTATTTTCAGGCTCTCAAAGCAACTGCTTTCTATCCCTCTCGATCGCACATTCCCTCTTCTCTCAGTCTCCATGTCTGCTCAGCACAGACCGGACAGGTTTAAGCGGGAGTGCAATGGATTAGGGTCATTGTTGTTAATTACAATGTTTCCTGCGCTAAACTATGTCAAGTATTGGCCTGTTGGAAACTACAATGCCTTACTACAGGGTTCTTCAATTCCGGTCCTGGAGGGCCGAAACACCTCTGTTTTTCATCCTCTCCTTCTAATCAGGGCTAATTCAGACCTGGGACACCAGGTGAGTGCAATTAACTACCAGGTAGAAATAAAAAACGGAAGTGTTTCGGCCCTCCAGGACCGGAATTGAAGAACCCTGCCCTACTACATGACAAAGTTTAGTCTTCATCTGATTTATCTCTACAGAAACTGCACATCAAACTCATAGAAAAAAAACAGAACTAAATGGAATTTCTGTGAATTAGTTGTTTAAAAAATGAAAAATAACCAAAATGTTGGTTAATCGCTCAGCACTACCAAATTGACACTGGAGTTGCTTAACAGGAAGACAGTGAATGTTCCTGAGTGGCCGACTTACAGTTTTGACTTAAATCTGCTAGAAAATCTATGGCAAGACTTGAAAATGCTTATTTAGCAATGATTAACAACCAATTTGACAGAGCTTGAAGAATTTTCAAAAGAATAATGTGCAAATATTGTACAATCCATGTGTGCAAAGCTCTTAGAGACTTACCCAGATAGACTCACAGCTGTAATCACTGCCAAATGGGATTCTAACATGCATTGCGTTGACTCAGGTGTGAAATTTCAAAAAACACGTTTTCACTTTGTCATTATGTGGTATTGTGTTAAGATGGGTGAGAACAAAAATATATTTAATACATTTTGAATTCAGGCTGTAACACAACACAACATTTGGAATAAGTTTAGGGGGTATGAATACTTTCTGAAGTCACTGTGAATTTAACTAAGGCGCTTAAGCCTATGTTTTCATGAAGATACTGAAATATGTATGGCCAACGAGAAGCTACCTATAGGCCCTAGTTCTGTTGCCAGAGACTATGTTAAAAGGAATACTGTTGCTTGAGATTGATTGCTGTATAAACACTGGATTGGAGTTACAGTGGATGGATGTGTTGTCTTGACAAGTTAGAATGTGCCTCTGAAGGAGAAATACAGTCAAGGCTATTTTCATCAGGAAGCCTCAGAAGCAGGTAGTCAGATAATCATCACCCCCACAGACCGTACAGCCACTTCCCCCTTACTTTCACAGCTGTTATCAGCATTCTGGGAGTCAAAGGTTACCTATCTAACCTCCCTGAACTGGAGGCTTGTGGTCTGAGGCCTCACAGAAACCAAGAGATGATCTCATAAGGCTGAATCCACCTAACATGAGAAACATTAAAAGTTGAACGTTTTTCTTAAAATCAAGCATTGTCAATGGGAGATTTGCTTGTAGGTTTGAGTTAGCCAGATACAGCCTAGGTTATACTCTTGACATGAATGGATGCAGACATAACGAAGGCAATCATTTAGAAAGTAAACTGAACAAAAATATAAGTGCAACATGCAACAATTTCAAAGATTTTACTGAGTTACAGTTCATATAAGACAATCAGTCAATTGAAATACATTTGTTAGGCCCTAATCTATGGATTTCACATGACTGGGAATACAGATATGCACCTGTTGGTCACAGACACCTTTAAAAAAAAAAAAAAAGAAAATAAGTATGGCTGTTGATCAAAAACCAGTAGTGGAAGAACTGGGACATTTTAAGCTTCCAGGTATTGTGTACAGATCCTTGCAACATGGGGCCTGCATTATCATGCTACAACATGAGGTGATGGCGGTGGATGAATGGCACAGCAATGGGCCTCAGGATCTCGTTACGGTATCTCTGTGCATTCAAATTGCCATCGATAAATTGCAGTTGTGTTCGTTGTCCGTAGCTTATGGCTGCCCATACCATAACCCCACCGCCACCATGGGGCACTCTGTTCACAACGTTGACATCAGCAAACCGCTTGCCCACACGAAGCCATGCACGCTGTCTGCCATCTGCCCAGTAGAGTTGAAACCGGGATTCACCGTCAAGAGCACACTTCTAAGGCGTGCCAGTGGACATCGAAGGTGAGCATTTGCCCACTGAAGTCATTTACAACTCCGAACTGCAGTCAGGTCAAGACCCTGGTGAGGACGACAAGCAGATGAGCTTCCCTGAGATGGTTTCTGTCAATTTGTGCAGAAATTCTTCGGATGTGCAAACCCACAGTTTCATCAGCTGTCCGGATGGCTGGTCTCAGACTGTCCTTTAGGTGAAGAAGTCGGATGTGGAGTTCCTGGGCTGGCGTGGTTACACGTGGTCTGCGGTTGTGAGGCCGGTTGGACGTACTGCCAAATATACTAAAATGACATTGGAGGCGGCTTATGGTGGAGAAATTAACAATCAATTCTCTGGTAACAGCTCTGGTGGACATTCCTGCAGTCAGCATGCCAATTGCACACTCCCTCAACTTGAGACACCAGTGGCATTGTGTTGTGACAACACTGTGGCCTTTTATTGTCCCCAGCACAAGGTGCACCTGTGTAATGATCAACATTTGAGAGAAATACGCTTTTTGTGCGTATGGATAATTTCTGGCACCTTTTATGTCAGCTCATGAAACATGGGACCAACACTTAGCATGTTGCGTTTATATTTTTGTTCGGTGTAAAAGCTAGTGTTTCCCTATCCTATTCTTATCAGTGGCTATCAGTTTCCCTTTCCTTTGACTATAGTTTGGGTCAGAAGGGTAAGAGTTAGTACTTTCTACTCTCTGCAAAGGATGAGATGGTTACTGTCAATAGTAAATCAAACTGGATCTAACAGGAAACGGACTTTGAGATCTCAATCCAAAAGGACAGATTTATTGTTCCGTATAAAGCTGAAACAAATGGCTCGGCTGACTTCACTTTATCTGTGTTTGCCAGCGTAGTACTCTTTTTTTTTAGTTTTTATTATTGATCTAGAACTGTGTGGTGGGTAGAGAGGAGGAGGAGCATGCATGGTTACAGTTTATTTCAATAGTAGATTTGGCTAGCCAGCTACATCCAAGCTCAAGCTAAACCTCCAAAGCCAAGACCTGGTTTCAATATTATTTGAAGTATTTTTCAAATAGCTGTTATTTGATTGAGTGGAATGGAACCAATAGAAAAGTCCCAAAAGTACAAACTCCACCCACCTGGGCTGGCATTCCAGGCACTGGCAGGCTAAAGCGATCACTCAAACTATTTGAAAGAGTTCAAATAGTATTTGAACCCAGGTCTGCCTCAGCTGTCAGCAGCCAACAGGGTTAATAACCTGCACCCCATCTGCGCCGTGCCATCAGGGTTGTAAACTAGCCTTTTACTACTGTTGGTTCAGCAACAACATGTCAGCTAGGAGGCAGAACCTGTCCCTCATAGGCCGAGAGAGAGCAATGTGTGAGCTGTGTACTTATTTACAATGCATCCAGTGCCGTGCAGGCAGGGTGAGTGAACACATTTTTGAGCACGGGCCAGGAACATCGTGTTCCTGCTCTCTGTAGCTAGTTAGTGTGACATCTGCTGGCACTCCGCCTAGCAGGGTCAAGTTGAATCAAATAAGAGAGCATGCTGCTCGGCTGCTGCGTAGGCTGGGTTGGTGTGGGTGGCTAACAGGAAAAGGGGGCTGGTATGCTGGTCTTGTCTGCACATGACAGGGTGGAGAGTGTTTTGGATTTTTCCACATGGGAACTGATATCCTCAGGTGTGCTGTGTGTGACCAATGAGACAGCGTTCTGTTATTGTTAGTGTAACGGCTTGTTCCTTTTTGCCCACTCTTAATTGTTCCACATGCGTGCCTTAATCCTCATTGATGACAGTTTAAGAGGGGTTTTTGATCATATTGTTCATAACACTTGACACATATTAGCATTCAAGTGTTGGATCTAAGATGAAAACGTACTCCTTTGAATGAAGGAAAATACTTCTGCCAAAAGTACGACATTTGGAATTAACATATTGCACTGATATCATGTTATGATGTGTAAAGCTCATAATAATAGACTAATCATCCCCAGGTGACAGACACTGACATCTCAGACTACCTGTCTGATGGGGAGGGAGAGAGCCATGACACCCTGACCCAGAACAGACTGGAGGCTGGGGTTGTGGCTGATTGTCCTCTGCAGACTGGGTCTGGGGAAGGGGAGGGCAGCAGAAGGTCAGTCAGTAACTGGGTCAGGTCCGCTCAGGCAGCGCTGCAGACGCCCCAGAAACAGACTGACAGGAACTCCAAGACCCCAGAGGACTCCAACAAAAAGAAAAGGACATTTCAAAGGTTTGACTTCTAAAGAAAAAATATTTTTAAGAAGCATTTATGATCTCTCTCATAATAGGTTAGATCAGGGGTAGGCAACCCTGTTCCTGGAGTGTACTGCAGGATTGTGTTCCAACCACACACGACCAACTGAGCTAATTGATCAGTTCAGTGATTGCCTAAATTCAACACACCTTGTCTTCCAGGTCGGTTAAATCAAAATCATTAAGTGCCAGCTGCATTCCAGGACCAGGGTTGCTTACCCCTGGGTTAGATCTTGGATAATGAGAAACAATGAGGGAAAAAATCATCATGATCATCGCGAGTCACATACATACACACACACACTGTCTGCAGATGTTTCCAGGGCGATGCTGCTGATCAAAGGACCACCTGGGTGACATCATGTGGGTGCCAAATGTCACTGTCATAGTTAAGACCCTCGGATAAGACATCTTTCTCCACAGAGTATCATAACAAACTACTGCTTTGTGATTCCTTTGTATTTCTACAGTTGATCAAATAGAATTGTATTTGTCAAATGCGCCGAGTACAACTGGTGTAGACTTTACCGTGAAAGGCTTGCTTACGAGCCCTTCCTAACAATGCAGAGTTTAAAGATAAGAATAAAATAGTAACACAGGGAATAAAATTAAATACACAAGAATGGAGCTATAAACAGGGAGTACCAGTACCAGATCAATGTGCAAAGGTACGAGGTAGATATGTACATGAAGGCAGGGTAAAGTGACTAGGCATCAGGGTAGATATTATTATTATTATTATTATTATTATTAAGAGTAAAATATAGAACAGAGCAGCGGAAGCAAATTATGAAGGTTAGTGTGTGTCTGGTGTCGATGCGCATGTGTGTGTTATGCGTATGTAATGTATGTGAATGTTTGTGGGAGTGTCAATGTATTGTGTGTGTGTGTGTGGTTTGTACACTGAACAACAATATAAATGCAACAATTTTACTGAGTTACAGTTCATATAAGGAAATCAGTCAAATGAAATAAATGAATTAGGCCCTAATCTATGGATTTCATATGACTGGGAATAAAGATATTGAGCTGTTGGTCACAGAAACCTTTTTTATAAATGTAGGGGCGTGGATCAGAAAACCAGTCAGTATCTGGTGTGACCACCATTTGCCTCATGCAGTGCGAGACAACTACTTCGCATAGAGTTGATCAGGCTGTAGATTGTGGCCGTGTGGAATGTTGTGGCCTGGTGGAATGTTGTCCCACTCCTCTTCAATGGCAGTGCGAAGTTTCTGGATATTGGCGGGAATTGGAATGCTGTCGTACACGTCGATCCAGAGCATCCCAAACATGCTCAATGGGTGACGTCCTGTGAGTATGCAGACCATGGAATAACTGGGAAACGTTCAGTTTTCAGGAATTGTGTACAGATCCTTGCGACATGGGGCTGTGCATTATCATGCGGAAACATGAGGTGATGGCAGCTGATGAAGTGCACAACAATGGGCCTCAGGATATCATCACGGTATATCTGTGCATTCAAATTGCCATCGATTAAAATGCAATTGTGTTCGTTGTCCGTAGCTTATGCCTGCCCATACCATAACACCACCACCACCATGAGGCACTCTGTTCACAATGTTGACATCAGCAAACCGCTTGCCCACACAATGCCATACACGCTGTCTGCCATCTGCCCGGTACAGTTGAAACCAGGATTCGTCCGTGAAGAGCACACTTCTCTAGCGTGCCAGTGGCCATCGAACGTGAGCATTTGCCCACTGAAGTCGGTTACGACGCCGAACTGCGGCCTGGTCAAGACCCTGGTGAGGACGACAAGCACGCAGATGAGTTTCCCTGAGACGGTTTCTGGCAGTTTGTGCAGAAATTCTTTGGTTGTACACAATGGTGTAAAGTACTTACGTAGAAATATTTTTTGGGGGGTATCTGTACTTTCCGATTTACAGTACCAGTCAAAAGTTTGGAAACACCTACTCATTCAAGGGTTTTTCTTTATTGTAGAATAATAGTGAAGACATCAAAACTGAAATAACACCAAAAAAGTGTTAAAACTAATCAAAATAATGTTATATTTGAGATTCTTCAAATAGCCACCCTTTGCCTTGATGACAGCTTTGCACACTCTTGGCATTCTCTCAACCAGCTGGATGTTTCTCCCATCTCCACAGAGGAACTCTGGAGCTCTGTCAGAGTAGCCATTGGGTTCTTGGTCACCTCCCTGACCAAGGCCCTTCTCCCCCGATTGCTCAGTTTGCCCGGGTCGGCTGGCTCTAGGAAGAATCTAGGTGGTTCCAAACTTCTTCCATTTAAGAATGATGGAGGCCTGTGTTCTTGGGCACCTTCAATGCTGCAGAAATGTTTAGGTACCCTTCCCCAGATCTGTGCTTCGACAAAATCCTGTCTCGGTGCTCTGCGGACAATTCCTTCGACCTCATGGCTTGGTCTTTGCTCTGACATGCACTGTCAACTGTGGGACCTTATAGACAGGTGTGTGCCTTTCCAAATCATGTCCAAGTAATTGAATTTACCACAGGTGGACTCAAATCAAGTTGTAGACACATCTCAAGGATGATCAATGGAAACAGGATGCACCTGAGCTCAATTTCGAGTCTCATAGCAAAGAGTCTGAATACTTATGTAAATATTGTATTCATTTTAGAATAAGGCTGTAACGTAACAATGTGGAAAAAGTCAAGGGGTCTGAATACTTTCCGAATGCACTGAACAAAAATATAAATGCAACATGTAAAGTGTTGGTTTCATTAGCTGAAATGAAAGATCCGAAAAAATGTCCATATGCACAAAAAGCTTATTTCTCTCAAATTGTGGACAAATTTGTTTACATCCCTGTTAGTGAACATTTCTCCTTTGCCAAGGTAATCCATCCACCTGACAGGTGTGGCATATCAAGAAGCTGATTAAACAGCATGATCATTACACAGGTGCACCTTGTGCTGGGGACAATAAAAGGCCACTCTAAAATGTGCAGTTATGTCACACATCACAATGCCACAGATGTCTCAAGTTTTGAGGGAGCGTGCAATTAACATGCCGACTGTAGCTCTGGTACCATTTGCCGGACGGTATCAAACAGTCTATAGCTTGGATGCACAGCACAGAATAATGTTCACTTCTTATAAATCGATTTTAAAGTAGCTTAGCCTGTATTGAGCGCTATTTATACAGTATTCTTGAGGATATTGAAGGTGGTGTGTGTTTCCTACAGTGGCGGCCTGGCGGAGCGACTGAACCGACTCCAGTGCAGACAGAGGTCAGCCATCAGCTTCTGGAGGCACCAGTCCATTTCTCACACTACTACTACTACTACTACTACTACTACTACTACTACAGCCACAGGTAATACAGACAACAAACAAACGCACAAGTCTGTGTCTTACACCACTAAAGTAGGGCTGGGAATTGCCAGGGACCTCACGATACGATCAATATGATATTATCATGACACTTTGGTGCCAATACGATATGTATTGTGATTCTCATGATCCTATATGTATTGCGATTCGATACTGTGAATTTATTGCGATTCGATGTTCCAAACATATTGCTCACCATATGTCTGCTGCAGAGGGACAAGAGAGAGCCATGAGAAAACGAGTTTTGATCAGTCATGGAAATAAAAGTGCTGAAAACAAATGGTCTCTGTATTTAAAAAGAATATGGAGAACAAGCTATGAAGGAAAAATACTGAACTTTTGGTAAAGATACAACCAACTAGCGCAAAAATAATGCGATTTGTCAAAACTATGCGATATATTGTCAAAAATAGTATCCCGATATGTAACTGTATTGATTTTTTTCCTCTCCCATCACTACACTATAGGCACAGGTATTAGGCTACAGAGTTTGTTTTATTTTAAATTGTAAAAACTGAGAAACAACAACAAACATGCAGAGGTGAAATGAAACATAATGTGCACGGTGAGAATAGAAACCCAAAAGGGCTTATGAAAGGGTCACCGTTACCACACATTCCTACGTATGCTAAGTATTCTCCGTTAATGGTTCAAGATTAACTTTGATTTGATGCTCTCTCTGAGACAGAAGTCAATCTCTCAGGCAGGTGTGATTCTCTGCGCAGATCTGTGGTCACGTGAAGACTGGAGCGTGTGGAGGAAATGCTGGTTGCTCGTTGATAATTGTGGCAGCAGTGAATTTGGTTCGTCGGGGCCAGTACGTAGGTGACAGGAAGCACTCTGCTTGCTGACTTGTCTTTTCTTTCCATGGTGCTACCAAAGCACGAGTCTACCCTCATTATCATTGGCTCCTAGATAATTAGGTTAAACCACTATTTTAATGTGACAGTTGATCGTGGAAAAACACAACCCTAAAAACGCCCACCTTTTCCAACTCGTGTTCAGTCAGTAGGTCAGTTAGTTGGCTTGGTTGTCTTTCGTCGGAGTGAGAGAAGAACTTGTAGAAGATAGAATGTTAAATTGAAGAAGTTTGCTCTAACTTGGCCTCATTTTTAGAATCATGTGACATCTAGTGTGAGTATTTGGCCCTCATCCTGGATCATAACAATGCACATAAGTGTGCTATACTGCATACTAGTGTTGCCACTTTTGTTTGTTGACTTTCTCACATTGATTTAAGAGCATCTACACAAACAATAACACCGGCAGTTATTTCAACACAACTAGCTTGAGCTATTATTAGTGCTGAGCGATTAACAACTAAATGACCAACTTAAATTGATTATTTGTATTTCATTTAGTTCTTATTTTTTATTTTTTGTGCACTCTGGATCAAGCACGAACTGTGTGATTTAGTAGGGAGTTGTAGTTTCCAACCGGCCAATATTCAACATAGTTTATAGCAGAAAACGTGGTAATTAACTACATTGATCATAATCCATTGCACGCCTACTTGTCCGGTCTGTGTTTCTTTTAGCCTGCTACATATGAGACAAGAATGCGCAATCAAGAGGGATAGAGAGCAGTTGCTTTGCAAGGGACAGTATCTCTACCTGAAAATAGTGATTGATAGTTGGTATTCAGCAGTCATAAAAGTATGCCTTATTTACTTTGAAGAACTAGTAAAATTGTGATTTTGTCAGACAGCATAGGCAGCAGCTCTATAGAGATGAGATGATGACTTGCAATTAAATAATAAAGTCATCAAATAAAACAAAGTGATTAGCAGTAATGGACTGTCACTACTATCATGGAACTTTTATTAATTGTTTTATTCTGTGTTACAGCATTCAACCCACATAATGCATAGTGCATTTAATGTTTGTAACAACAAATAATAATAATAATCTAAATACATTTTTTATTTTTTACTAATTGAACTGAAACCGAACCGGCCTCAAAAAGCACTAATCAGCACCAGCTGTAGCAAACCTGTTCATTCTCACAAGAATAAGCTGTGTGTGTGTGCGCACAAGTGTCTGCGTCAGTCATTGATGTTATTCCTTCACACACTATTCCACTTTAGATTTATTTGTTTATTGCAGGTCAGAAGGAGGACTCCATTCAGTCTGTCCTGTATTCACCTGCCCACTAATAAAGGGTTCATTATCATTGTTATATACTGAACACAAATATAAACGCAACACGTAAAGTCATGTTTCATGAGCTGAAATAAAAGATCACAAATGTTATTTACATACAAAAAGCTTATTTCTCCAATGTTGTGCACAAATTTGTTTACAGCCTTGTTAGTGAGCATTTCTCCTTTGCCAAGATAATCCATGCATCTCACAGGTGTGGCATATCAAGAAGCTGATTAAACAGCATGATCATTACACAGGTGCACCTTGTGCTGGGGACAATAAAAGGCCACAGTTTTGTCACAACACAATGACACAGATGTCTCAAGTTTTGAGGGAGCGTGCATTTGGCATGCTCACTGCAGGAATGTCCACCAGAACTGTTGCCAGATAATTTAATGTTAATTTCTCTACCATAAGCCACCTCCAACTTCGTTTTAGAGAATTTGGCAGTATTTTCAACCGGCCTCACAACCGCAGACCACAGGTAACCACGCCAGCTCAGGACCTCCATATCCGGCTTCTTCACCAGCAGGATCGTCTGAGACCAGCCACCCGGACAGCTGTTGAAACTGGGGGTTTGCCCAAACAAAGAATTTCTGCACTAACTGACAGAAACCATCTCAGAGAAGCTCATCTGCGTGCTCGTCATCCTCACCAGGGTCTTGACCTGACTGCATTTCGGCGTTGTAACCGACTTCAGTGGGCAAATGCTCACCTTCGATGGCCACTGGCATGCTGGAGAAGTGTGGGGGAGTATTTCTGTCTGTAATAAACCCTTTTGTGGGTAAAAACTAATTCTGATTGGCTCCCCCGTGGCCCACCCTATGCCCTCCCAGGCCCACCCATGGCTGCGCCCCTGCCCAGTCATGTGAAATCCATAGATTAGGGCCTAATTCATTTATTTCAGTTGACTGAGTTCCTTATATGAACTGTAAATCTGAATTTTTGCATGTTGCGTTTATATTTTTGTTCGGTATAGTATGTCTTATGTGTGCCAAACGGAGGAACATATCTCTGGATATGATACATGTTCTAACAATTCCTTCCACTTAGTGCTGGTGTTGATGAACCCTCCTGTTGTAAATCCTCTCAGGCAAATATCAGTGATTGTCACATACTCCAACATAGAGCTGCCTTGTCTTGCATTGAATTGGAGCGCACTAATATCGTCATGATTCACATCACAAACAGCATGATACAGTGGGGAGAACAAGTATTTGATACACTGCCGATTTTGCAGGTTTTCCTACTTACAAAGCATGTAGAGGTCTGTAATTTTTATCATAGGTACACTTCAACTGTGAGAGACGGAATCTAAAACAAAAATCCAGAAAATCCCATTGTATGATTTTTAAGTAATTCATTTGCATTTTATTGCATGACATAAGTATTTGATCACCTACCAACCAGTAAGAATTCCGGCTCTCACAGACCTGTTAGTTTTTCTTTAAGAATCCCTCCTGTTCTCCACTCATTACCTGTATTAACTTCACCTGTTTGAACTCGTTAACTGTATAAAATACACCTGTCCACACACTCAAACAGACTCCAACCTCTCCACAATGGCCAAGACCAGAGAGCTGTGTAAGGACATCAGGGATAAAATTGTAGACCTGCACAAGGCTGGGATGGGCTACAGGACAATAGGCAAGCAGCTTGGTGAGAAGGCAACAACTGTTGGCGCAATTATTAGAAAATGGAAGAAGTTCAAGATGACGGTCAATCACCCTCGGTCTGGGGCTCCATGCAACATCTCACCTCGTGGGGCATCAATGATCATGAGGAAGGTAAGGGATCAGCCCAGAACTATACGGCAGGACCTGGTCAATGACCTGAAGAGAGCTGGGACCACAGTCTCAAAGAAAACCATTAGTAACACACTACGCCGTCATGGATGAAAATCCTGCAGCGCACGCAAGGTCCCCCTGCTCAAGCCAGCGCATGTCCAGGCCCGTCTGAAGTTTGCCAATGACCATCTGGATGATCCAGAGGAGGAATGGGAGAAGGTCATGTGGTCTGATGAGACAAAAATAGAGCTTTTTGGTCTAAACTCCACTCGCCGTGTTTGGAGGAAGAAGAAGGATGAGTACAACTCCAAGAACACCATCCCAACAGTGAAGCATGGAGGTGGAAACATAATTCTTTGGGGACGCTTTTCTGCAAAGGGGAAAGGACGACTGCACCGTATTGAGGGGAGGATGGATGGGGCCATGTATCGCGAGATCTTGGCCAACAACCTCCTTCCCTCAGTAAGAGCATTGAAGATGGGTCGTGGCTGGGTCTTCCAGCATGACAACGACCCAAAACACACAGCCAGGGCAACTAAGGAGTGGCTCCGTAAGAAGCATCTCAAGGTCCTGGAGTGGCCTAGCCAGTCTCCAGACCTGAACCCAATAGAAAATCTTTGGAGGGAGCTGAAAGTCCGTATTGCCCAGCGACAGCCCCGAAGCCTGAAGGATCTGGAGAAGGTCTGTATGGAGGAGTGGGCCAAAATCCCTGCTGCAGTGTGTGCAAACCTGGTCAAGACCTACAGGAAACGTATGATCTCTGTAATTGCAAACAAAGGTTTCTGTACCAAATATTAAGTTCTGCTTTTCTGATGTATCAAGTACTTATGCATGCAATACTCATGCAATAAAATGCAAATGAATTACTTAAAAATCATACAATGTGATTTTCTGGATTTTTGTTTTAGATTCCGTCTCTCACAGTTGAAGTGTACCTATGATAAAAATTACAGACCTCTACATGCTTTGTAAGTAGGAAAACCTGCAAAATCGGCAGTGTATCAAATACTTGTTCTTCCCACTGTATACAGTGGGGGAAAAAAGTATTTAGTCAGCCACCAATTGTGCAAGTTCTCCCACTTAAAAAGATGAGAGAGGCCTGTAATTTTCATCATAGGTACACGTCAACTATGACAGACAAAATGAGAAAAAAAATCCAGAAAATCACATTGTAGGATTTTTAATGAATTTATTTGCAAATTATGGTGGAAAATAAGTATTTGGTCAATAACAAAAGTTTCTCAATACTTTGTTATATACCCTTTGTTGGCAATGACACAGGTCAAACGTTTTCTGTAAGTCTTCACAAGGTTTTCACACACTGTTGCTGGTATTTTGGCCCATTCCTCCATGCAGATCTCCTCTAGAGCATTGATGTTTTGGGGCTGTCGCTGGGCAACACAGACTTTCAACTCCCTCCAAAGATTTTCTATGGGGTTGAGATCTGGAGACTGGCTAGGCCACTCCAGGACCTTGAAATGCTTCTTACGAAGCCACTCCTTCGTTACCCGGGCGGTGTGTTTGGGATCATTGTCATGCTGAAAGACCCAGCCACGTTTCATCTTCAATGCCCTTGCTGATGGAAGGAGGTTTTCACTCAAAATCTCACGATACATGGCCCCATTCATTCTTTCCTTTACACGGATCAGTCGTCCTGGTCCCTTTGCAGAAAAACAGCCCCAAAGCATGATGTTTCCACCCCCATGCTTCACAGTAGGTATGGTGTTCTTTGGATGCAACTCAGCATTCTTTGTCCTCCAAACACGACGAGTTGAGTTTTTACCAAAAAGTTCTATTTTGGTTTCATATGACATTCTCCCAATCCTCTTCTGGATCATCCAAATGCACTCTAGCAAACTTCAGATGGGCCTGGACATGTACTGGCTTAAGCAGGGGGACACGTCTGGCACTGCTGGATTTGAGTCCCTGGCGGCGTAGTGTGTTACTGATGGTAAGCTTTGTTACTTTGGTCCCAGCTCTCTGCTGGTCATTCACTAGGTCCCCCCGTGTGGTTCGGGGATTTTTGCTCACCGTTCTTGTGATCATTTTGACCCCACGGGGTGAGATCTTGCGTGGAGCCCCAGATCAAGGGAGATTATCAGTGGTCTTGTATGTCTTCCATTTCCTAATAATTGCTCCCACAGTTGATTTCTTCAAACCAAGCTGCTTACCTATTGCAGATGCAGTCTTCCCAGCCTGGTGCAGGTCTACAATTTTGTTTCTGGTGTCCTTTGACAGCTCTTTGGTCTTGGCCATAGTGGAGTGTGACTGTTTGAGGTTGTGGACAGGTGTCTTTTTTATACTGATAACAAGTTCAAACAGGTGCCATTAATACACGTAACGAATGGAGGACAGAGGAGCTTCTTAAAGAAGAAGTTACAGGTCTGTGATAGCCAGAAATCTTGCTTGTTTGTAGGTGACCAAATACTTATTTTCCACCATAATTTGCAAATAAATTCATAAAAAATTCTGAATTTTTTTTTCTCAATTTGTCTGTCATAGTTGACGTGTACCTATGATGAAAATTACAGGCCTCTCATCTTTTTAAGTGGGAGAACTTGCACAATTGGTGGCTGACTAATTACTTTTTTCCCCCACTGTATGGTCAGTGTTACACGCACACATTACATTGAGCTGAGTCACACTCTGCTTATTTGTCTATGGCAGGTTTGTTTGAATTGGGACGTTGGGTATGTTTTGTTCTCTAGAGAGCCGCTCTCAGCTTGCTGGATGCGGCAGGCACACAAGATTCACCCAAAAGCATTTGCAAGAACCTCACTGAATGGATGAGCTTTCCAGTTGCTGCATTTCATTACAGGATCATAGTTATAGCCTACTTTATTCATTCACATAATCACTCTCATAAGAGATATCTCATCATGAGTGACACTTAGTGAAACTGTAATGAATATTTTTTTCAGATTCAGGAAGTTAATTTCTATTGAACTTCCTTAATTGAAAACTGAATTGACCCTAACCATGCGAGACGAGTGACCCCACACAGACACTCACATCCCACACCATCTGTGTTGTTCTTGTCTGTCCTCCAGTGAATAAGCCTGGGGTGCTGGTGCTGGAGGTCCTGTCAGTCCAGGAGGAGAGCTGCATGCAGCTGGCCCTGTGTGAGCAACACCACCCCCCTGCTACAGGCCACCACAGGCCTTCATCCAACAGCTCCACCACTACGACAAGAGCTGACCAGCACAACCCCTCTGCTACACACCACACCCCCCCTCTCTCCACCAAAAGCAGAGCTCGGGTCCTGGTACTGTTCAATAAGGAGACGACTGCCCAGCTCATGCCTGCGCCTAGAGACCTCATCCATATATACCCACCATGGTGAGAGAGCATTAGTCTGCAATAGTTAGTAATGCACAGTTATGGTGTCAAGGAATCACTTTAATATTAAAAGGGGAAATGCCCAAGTCATTATATGTTATCTACACATCTTCCTCATGCAGCAAAACTATAGTCATAAAATTGCCTGCACTTGTCTTTTCCGACTAGCACTGACTTCGCTGATAATTACTTTGAGGGAAAATGTACTTACTTTGACTGTGATGTGGTTGTCTCACCTAGTTATCTTAAAGGGATAGTTACCCAAATTACAAAATGATACATTGGTTTCTTTACAGTGAGTACGTTTACATGCACAGTAATAATTCTATGTTAAACTGATTATGGTAGTAGGCAGATTATTCAATGGTCATCTAAACACCTTACTCTGCTTATTGTAATCGGCGCGAGGTCAAAATCGAAGTAAGCATATGGCGATTAAAACACCTGGTTTTCTGAGCAGTCTTTAGAATTATTAGGACATGTAAACACCTTAAAAGGCGTTCCAGCTGTGTATTTGATCTGTACGTGTGCTAGCACCAGCCAAACGAGCCTCCCTCTTTAGCGCAAGTGAAGAGTTCAGAACAACTGAATGTATGGGTCTTTAAAAGTAGTTTTCACATACAAACTTTGTGTCCGAACTCCGAATCACATATGCTTCCCAAATATAACATTGTCGCTATGGTAGAATGTTTATTTAGATTTTCTTCATTTATCAGAATGCCATCTTGTAGCCTGATTTCAGATGTGTCCATGCCATGTAAGCAGGATTATTAGGGAAATCGTTCTTCTTGCAAAGCATGTAAACGCTTTAATCAACTTATTATATTAATCTCACTATCCGCAATAATCATATTATTGTCTGCATGTAAAAGTACTCACTGTAAGCAGTCTATTGACAAGGTATGACAACAATTCATGCTTTGGTTTAGTTTCCCTGGTACTGTTTCCACATGCTGAAGTTTTAGCATTTCTGGCACAAATCCCATTCAAGTCATGGGACTGATATTAGCATTTTTCATGCTTCATGTCCAAATCATCCAAAAGTATCTCAAATTGATTGTGAAACGCAACAAAGTCACTTATACAGTGCATTTGGAAAGTATTCAGACCCCTTCCCTTTTCCACATTTTGTTACGCTACAGCCTTATTCTAAAATGGATTAAATAACACATTTTCCTCATCAATCTACACACAATACCCTATAATGACAAAGCGAAAACAGCTTTTTAGAAATGTTTGCAAATGTATTAAGTAAATAAACGGAAATACCTTATTTACATATTCAGACCCTTTTGCTATTGATCATCCTTGATGTTTCTACAACTTGATTGGAGTCCACCTGTGGTAAATTCAATTGATTGGACATGATTTGGAAAATAACACATCTGTTTATATAAGGTCCCACAGTTGACAGTGCATGTCAGAGCAAAAAGCCATGAGGTGGAAGGAATTGTCCGTAGAGCTCCCAGACAGGATTGTGTCGAGGTACAGATCTGGGGAAGGGTACCAAAAAATTTCTGCAGCATTGAAGGTCCCCAAGAACACAGTGGCCTCCATCATTCTTAAATGGAAGAACGTTGGAACCACCAACACACTTTCTAGAGCTGTCCACCCGGCCAAACTGTGCAGTCGGGGGAGAAGGGCCTTGGTCAGGGAGGTGACCAAGAACCCGATGGTCACTCTGACAGAGCTCCAGAGTCCCTCTGTGTAGATGGAAGAACCTTCCAGAAGGACAACCATGTCTGCAGCACTCCACCAATCAGACCTTTATGGTAGAGTGGCCAGACGGAAGCCACTCCTCAGGTACCTTTTGGAGTTTGCCAAAAGGTACCTAACGGATTCTCAGACCATGAGAAACAAGATTCTCTGGTCTGATGAAACAAACCAAGATTGAACTCTTTGGCCTGAATGCCAAGCGTCACGTCTGCAGGAAACCTGGCACCATCCCTACGGTGAAGCATGGTGGTGGCAGCATCATGCTGTGAGATTGTTTTTCAGCGGCAGGGACTGGGAGACTAGTCAGGATCGAGGGAAAGATGAACGGAGCAAAGTACAGAGAGATCCTTGATGAAAACCTGCTCCAGAGTGCTCAGGACCTCAGACTGGGAGCGAAGGTTCACCTTCCAATAGGACAACAACCCAAAGCACACAGCCAAGTCTACGCAGTAGTGGCTTCAGGACAAGTCTCTGAATGTCCTTGAGTGGCCCAGCCAGAGCTCGGACTTGAACCCGATCGAACATCTCTGGAGAGACCTGAAAATAGCTGTGCAGCGACGCTCTTCATCCAACCTGACAGAGCTTGAGAGAATCTACAGAGAAGAATGGGAGACACTCCCCAAATATAGGTGTGCCAAGCTTGTAGTCTCCCGAGTGGCACAGTGGTCTAAGGCACTGCATCGCAGTGCTAGCTGTGCCACTAGAGATCCTGGTTCGAATCCAGGCTCTGTCGTAGCTGGCTGTGACCGGGAGACCCATGGGGCGGCGCACAATTGGCCCAGCGTTGTCTAGGGGAGGGAATGGCCAGCAGGGATGTAGCTCAGTTGGTAGAGCATGGCGTTTGCAACGCCAGGGTTGTGGGTTCGATTCCCACGGGGGGCCAGTATGAAAAAAAAAAAAAAAAAAAAAAAAAACAACAAGGTATGCACTCACTAACTGTAAGTCGCTCTGGATAAGAGCGTCTGCTAAATGACTAAAATGTAAATGTAGCGTCATACCCAAGAAGACTCGAGGCTGTATTCGCTGCCAAAGGTGCTTCAACAAAGTACTGAGTAAAGGGTCTGAATACTTATGTAAATGTAATACAGTGCTATGAAAAAGTATTTGCCCCCTTTCTAATTTTCTCTACTTTTGCATATGTGTGATACTGAATGTTATCAGATCTTCAACCAAAACCTAAAATTAGATAAAGGGAACATACGTGAACAAATAACACAACAATTACATATTTATTTCATAAACAAAGTTATGCAACACCCAATTCCCCTGTGTGAAAAAGTAATTGCCCCCTTACAGTCAATAACTGGTTGTGCCACCTTTAGCTGCAATGACTCCAACCAAATGCTTCCTGTAGTTGTTGATCAGTCTCTCACGTCGCTGTGGAGGAATTTTGGCCCACTCTTCCATGCAGAACTGCTTTAACTCAGTGACGGGTGGACTTCATGTAGACTTGATTGTGTGTTTTGGATCATTGTCTTGCTGCATGACCCAGCTGCGCTTCAGCTTCAGCTCACAGATGGATGGTCTGACATTCTCCTGTAGAATTCTCTGATACAGAGCAGAATTCATGGTTCCTTCTATTAAGGCAAGTCGTCCAGGTCCTGAGGCAGCAAAGCATCGCCAAACCATCACACCACCACCACCACCATGCTTGACCTTTTGGTATGATGTTCTTACTGTGGAATGCAGAGTTTGGTTTTCGCCAGGCATAATGGGACCAATCTTGTCCAAAAAGTTGACTCAAGTTTGCCAAAAAGCACCTGGATGATCATCAACACACTATCAAATCTACATGAAAATTGCTAAAAAGCAACAAATTGGAAGTTTTGGAATGGCCTAGTCAAAGTCCAGACCTAATCCCAATTGAGATGTTGTGGCAGGACTTGAAACGAGCAGTTAATGCTTGAATACCCACACGTCACTGAGTTAAAGCAGTTCTGCATGGAAGAGTGGGCCAAAATTCCTCCACAGCAACGTGAGAGACTGATCAACAACTACAGGAAGTAATTGGTTGGAGTCATTGCAGCTAAAGGTGGCACAACCAGTTATTGAGTGTAAGGGGGCAATTACTTTTTCACACAGGGGAATTGGGTGTTGCATAACTTTGTTTATGAAATAAATATGTAATTGTTGTGTTATTTGTTCACTTATGTTCCCCTTATCTAAATATTAGGTTTTGGTTGAAGATCTGATAACATTCAGTATCACAAATATGCAAAAGTAGAGAGAATTAGAAAGGGGGCAAATACTTATTCATAGCACTGTATTTTTGTTTTTTATTTTTAACAAATTAGCAAAAAAAATCAACTGTTTTTGCTTTGTTATTATGGGGTATTGTGTGTAGATTGATGAGGGGAAAAAACAATTTCATCAATTTTAGAATAAGGCTGTAACGTAACAAAATGTGGAAAAAATCAAGGGGTCTGAATACTTTCTGAATGCACTGTAGATTATTTGAATATGATGCATGAAAAATGCTGATATCAGTCACATGACTTGAATGCTAAATTGTTAGCATGTGAAAACCGTGCCAGGGAAACTAAACCAAACCATGGATTGCTGTCATACCTTGTACATAGACTGCTTACAGGGTAAGGAAACCAATGTCATTTTGTAATGTTAATTTGGGTGAACTTTCCCTTTAAGATAATACACTAATTGTAAGGCGCTCTGGATAAGAGCTTCTGCTAAATGACTAAAATGTTAAATGTAAATATCACTTATATTTTTTAATATAGGCCTACCAGTAATCTCTATTTCAAAATGTGTAATAACGGGATACAGGAACTTATGTAGTGCTGTAGTGTATACACAGTCAGAGTAGTTGGTGTGTGAAGTTGTTTTGGAGCAGGAGCAAGGCAGAGGCTGGTTCCAGCTGTTGGGGGTTTAGTTTGGGAGTCCAGCATGCAGCTCTGGAATATCCAGGCTTGGGGCTGGCCTGGCGGAGGTCCAAGGGCCTACTCGGTGCTCTGACGTCGAAAGCTGCTCCAGGGAATGCTGCTTCAGATTCCTCTTCCTGGCAGTGGAGTAGTTAGGTCATTTCCAGCAAGCCGGCCCGGGAAAAAACACACAGGTTTTTTTTTTCTGGAGCATTTGGGAACAGAGTGGAAGAAGTCAAGAGGACATAATTGAAAACACATGCTGCTCTGCTGCGCGCGCACACACACACACACACACAGCGTAGTGTATCATTGGCTTAGCAATATTATAGCAGTTCTCTTACATCTGTATTGTTTTACACCAGCAGTGGAGAAGAGTAGTCTCCCGCTGACTGTTATTGAAAGCAAAATAATTTCTGCATTTATACTGAACAAAATATAAAGGCAACATGTAAAAGAGTTGCTTTCATAAGCTGAAATAAAAGATCTCAGAAATGTTCCGTACGCACAGAAAGCTTATTTCTCTCAAATGTTGTACACAAATGTGTTTACATCCCTGTTAGTGAGCATTTCTCCTTTGCCAAGATAATCCATCCACCTGACAGGTGTGGCATATCAAGAAGCTGATTAAACAGCATGATCATTACACAGGTGCACCTTGTGCTGGGGACAATGAAAGGCCACTCTAAAATGTGCAATGCCACAGATGTCTCAAGTTTTGAGGGAGTGTGCAATTGACATGCTAATTGCAGGAATGTCCACCAGAGCTGTTGTCAGAGAATTGAATGTTAATTTTTCTACCATAAGCCGCCTCCAACGTTGTTATAGAGAATTTGGCAGTATCTCCAACAGGCCTCACAACCGCAGACCACGTGTAACCACGCCAGCCCAGGACCTCCACATCCGGCTTCTTCACCTGCGGGATCGTCTGGGACCAGCAACCCGGACAGCTGATGAAACTGAGGAGTATTTCTGTCTGTAATAAAGCACTTTTGTGGGGGAAAAACACATTCTATTTGGCTGGCCATGGCTCCCCAGTCATGTGAAATCCATAGATTAGGGCCTAATTTATTTATTTAAATTGACTGTTTTCCTTATATGAACTGTAACTCGTTAAAATCGTGGAAATTGTTGCATGTTGCGTTTATATTTTTGTTCAGTATAGAACCCACAATCTGCTCTTTTATACCCAATTTCGTATTTTGATAATGAAATATAGACCAACTATTCAACCTAGCTTATTTGCCCATTGCTGGACCTCGTAGCTATTCATTCATTTAGAACAGCCAAAAGTGGAAAAACCCAGGAATTCATACATTTTACCAGCATTGCAAATTTTATCTTTTGTCTATCAGCTTCCTGTGTGTCACTTTAATTGTTCCCTCCCCCATACTCCTTCACTGAGTGGGCCGGCCCCTCCCGTCTTCTGCCTCCCACTCCTTGTGAGTGGGCAGAGAGCACAGCCAGCAGCGGAGCGGAAATACCTGCAGACATTATTCACCTTACAGTCTCTGACGACAGCAGGCACTCCTTAACCTAAAGTACCTGTCTAATGACACGTAGTGAACATGTACTAGTTCCCAACAGTCACCTGCACTGTGCAGGGTCACACTTCCTGTTGTTCCTTTAGGATAGCCTTGACACTAATAGATTAAATGTAGAAAACAGGTTTTTCAAAACCTTGATTCTGACACTGAGTGTGCTGAAGCACCCTATTTATATTGAGGCTTTATTAACATTGAGGAATCTTAGGCTAAATTATAACAATTATATAAACTAAAACAATGCATGTGTGTAAGTAGTGTAGTTTGTGCACTTGTTCACTTCCGGACAACATTTTAAAACAATCTATTCTTTATAAATTCCTGATGATCGACATTACCAGAAATGTGCACCTTCTGAATATTAGATAACACATTTTTTAAAGTGTACTCAATTACCTCATATCAAATGTGTTATATTGAAAGCAACTGTAGCCTACATTGTATAAAGTGTGATTTATTATCCTGGCTCATCCATCATATCACCAGTCAGAGGCAGGCTGGGACATGTAAGCCTACCTGGAGCCACAGAGACTGCAGTTGGCCCTGAGTCAACTATAAGCCATGTTGTTATTACCTATGTCACATCAAAAAATAAATATTGAGTCAGAACTTAGTATCATCCACATAGTAAATACTTAGAGAGATGATGCGATCAAAATTAGATGGAATGTTTTCAAAGGATGGATATTGCCTGTAAAATTATTGTTCAGATGGGCGTGAAGTGAATATCCACGATAAGCTGAAATGCATGACTGTTGATTGAATTTTTTTTTTTGATTAACCTCTTTACATGCAAAGGATCGTCAAATGACGTGCAATGCACACATTTCCTTTCTATTTTTTGTCAGTCCCAACTGAAATGTACATAGGCTATTATTCTGAAATTGAATTGGGCGTGTTATCAAAATAACAGGAAGAAAGAAAGTGTTAACAAACACACAAAAAACCAGAGCTTTGGATCGTACTGTGAAGCATGTTTGGTCAGGCTTGCCGCTTTTCACAGTATCCTGAACAGCCTGTCTGAATTCACGGTTGTGGAAAAGAAAAGGGCAGCTTTCTATACAGTGAAAGATTCCAAACTTATCAGTTCAGTTGTATTTTTCCATGGAGTGTGGGGGCAGGCTAACCCACCTGAATCTGCTATGTGCCTGGGGGTAGGGTGTTTAGAGAGTGAGGAGACTGATGGAGGTAGAGGCGGCTGCCTGCTTATCAATCCATCTACATTTGACATTCATCATACATCTTCTTCAGCCTTCCTGCCTCTGCAGTCTTATGCAAGAACAGAGCCCCCCTAAATCTATACGTTTAGTTTACTCAACCTTTCCACTCCTTTTAACCTGAATATTGCGTCTGTGAGAGATGACCGAGTCAAATTCCAGCTATAGTTTTCTGTCAATTTACTAAACAACATTTGGTATTACACAACTTATGCTCTGTATTTCAAAATGATCCCCCCCCCTTTTTTTTTCTCTCTACAGGCAAAGTCTCATGATTGAGGGTCAACATAATACCATTATTCTCAACACACACTTCAGCCAGAAGGTCTACTCTGACACCAAACAAACCAGCATGTCCCTCCCCAGAGCCCTGGTCCCAGTAGAGAGATGCAGCCCATACTCTCTGACCAGGTCATTTGGTCAGCTTGAGATCAACAAGACCTCACCAGAGGGAGATGGCAGAGTCAAACAGGTGGGTTGGGTTTCACTACATTTACTGGCAGATATTCCACCTTGGATGGACAATGAAGTTATATTCTGTTGATGTTAACCCAGGTTTGATTAGCCCTATCATTTTGGTCTGCACTCTACACAGTCACAATTAGTACCAGTGGGGTAAAGTACAGTGTTGGCTAACCTGCTAGGTTCAGTCAGTGTCTCAAATCTTAATTGAGTAACACAACTATTCCACTATGTTTGTTCAGGTAAAATATGATGTCCTGGTCCAATAAGTGTTTTTTTTCCCCCTCTCTCCAAATTTCTGCCCTCCAGTCTTTATGCGGCCGGGGAGGCCCAGGTGCAGCCAGCAGGGGAGGGTGTGACTCCCTCCTAGAGACCATCGAGGGCCTGGGCCAGGCTGGGTCGGTGGTGCAGGACGTAGAGGTGGTGGTCCAGAGGGTTTACTGTACCCCCATCAGGGAGCGCTCCACTGGGGCTTTACTCAAGTCCAAAGGCCCTGGCAGATCCCCTACAGCGCCGCCTCCTCTCCAGAAGGGCAAGAGCAGGTAGAGTTCAGCAACATGTCTTATCTTTTTGACTGATATCTTGTTTCATCTACCATGACGTCCCCATGAGGTTGAATATGATGGCCCTTTGTGAGTATTTACATGGTAAACTAACTGTAAAGCCGGGCGTACACTACACGATTTTGGCCCCCATTTAGCTGTCCCAGACAAGTTAATGAGATACGAGACAAAATTCCTCTACTAGGGGTGTGCGGCCGTCACCTACGCTCGTTTAATGTGAGCGGGTCAGAGACACAATCTGAGGGCTACTGATCCCGTCTTTGAGTTGTCCCAGACGTCCCGATGCTTTCAAACATTAGATTTTATCAACACAAAATCTGCAATGCACTTGTAGTTTGAGATGTGCAACAACAAGTTTTGAGAACGGTGATCAGCAATAGCCAATGAGAGCTCGCCAGAGAAGAAGCTAGTGAGGTGATAACGTATCTCATCACCCAGAATGTGTAGACTCTTGAGCAGGGGCAATGACTACTACTAGTATGCGTTTGTAGCCTACTTGCCTTTAACCAAAGCCAAAGTGTCTCGTTACATCTCTGAAGTTCACAAGCAATGTTATTTAATTCAAAATGTATTGGCTAGATATTTCAGCTCTGTATGGCAAGTGTGAATGTCTGACTGAAAACATTTTGAGGCTGCTTTGAGCCACAGCTCGTTCTAGCTACGTTAACAATCTAATCACATTGTTTTCGCGAGACAATGTGGTATGTAGAATCCTCACGAAGTGAAGAATCCTGTAGCATGTGACCCCCTGTCTGTGCCACATTGTTTAGTGTGCACACCACTACGTTGTCAAGACAAAATAAACTACAGGAAAGACGCTTGAGAGGCTCAGCAATGTTAGGGTTTAGTTTACTGTTCTATGGCAAGATATGAGTTGCCACAATGTTTGTTCTTCAAATTATGTATTTTATTAAAACAGAAACATTTAGTAAATAGCCCACATTGTCTTGAGAAATAAATTAAAAGTTTAGTTTTTTCCCTGTTTTTTTTTCAGGTGTTCGCTCTCAATCACTTTTTCTTTAATAGAAAAAAAACAATTGGATGTTCTAAGTTCACAACAATGCTTAAACCACATCAGAAGACAACTTTTGAGGTCTGGGACAAATCAGAGAAATTTGGATTTTTGGCTGTAGTTGGCCTTTAATTCAAGTGCACATCTAGCAAGAGGCTGTTGTTTAGCATGTTTTTGTAGCACACGCAATGGTAGAGTTTGCAAAACAAATAACTACTGGATTGATGAAAGTAATTATATAATTCTGCCAGGTAAGCATAGTTTACTTTGTAGCTAACATGTAATTGAGAAGGTTTTTGGGATAGCCTTTCCATCTACCAGAAGACTGTTTTCATTAGCATCGCTAACGGCTACACAAAGTGGTAGATACGCACAATGCACAGACACAGACGGGCATTATCATTGCCTTTTCAGAAAGTTGCAGGAAATATTAATCACTGATGCGTTTTGTTCATGTCTTATGATAAACTTTGGCTAATTAATTAATTTTCAATATAAATGTAAATAGTTGATTTTTTTCAATATGTATTTTTTTATATTGTTGAATGTCTCTATGCCTGGATTCCGTGAGGGTACTCATTTTCATTTTGGATCAGAATGAGGAATGTGAAATGTCAGAATAATAGTAGAGAGAATGATTTATTTCAGCTTTTATTTCTTTCATCACATTCCCAGTGGGTCAGAAGTTTACATACACTCACTTAGTATTTGGTAGCATTGCCTTTAAATTGTTTAACTTGGGTCAAACGTTTCGTGTAGCCTTCCACAAGCTTCCCACAATAAGTTGGGTGAATTTTGGCCCATTCCTCCTGACAGAGCTGGTGTAACTGAGTCAGGTTTGTAGGCCTCCTAGCTCGCACATGCTTTTTCAGTTCTGCCCACAAATTTTCTATAGGATTGAGGTCAGGGCTTTGTGATGGCCACTCCAATACCTTGACTTTGTTGTCCTTAAGCCTTTTTGCCACAACTTTGGAAGTATGCTTGGGGTCATTGTCCATTTGGAAGACCCATTTGCGACCAACCTTTAACTTCCTGACTGATGTCTTGAGATGTTGCTTCAATATATCCACATCATTTTCCTTCCTCATAATGCCATCTATTTTGTAAAGTGCACCAGTCCCTCCTGCAGCAAAGCACCCCCACAGCATGATGCTGCCACCCCCGTTCTTCACGGTTGGGATGGTGTTCTTCGGCTTGCAAGGAACCCCCTTTTTCCTCCAAACTTAACGATGGTAATTATGGCCAAACGGTTCTATTTTTGTTTCATCAGACCAAAGTACGTTCATCTCTAGGAGACAGAGAATGCGTATCCTTCCTGAGCGGTATGACGGCTGCGTGGTCCAGTGGTGTTTATACTTGTGTACTATTGTTTGTACAGATGAACGTGGTACCTTCAGGCATTTGGAAATTGCTCCCAAGGATGAACCAGACTTGTGGAGGTCTACAATTTATTTTCTTGGCTGATTTATTTTGATTTTCCCATGATGTCAAGCAAAGAGGCACTGACTTTGAAGGTAGGCCTTGAAATACATCCACAGGTATACCTCCAATTGACTCAAATGATGTCAATTAGCCTATCAGAAGCTTCTAAAGCCATGACATCATTTTCTGGGATTTTCCAAGCTGTTTAAAGGCACAGTCAACTTAGTGTATGTAAACTTCTGACCCACTGGAATTGTGATACAGTGAATTATAAGTGAAATTATCTGTCTGTAAACAATTGTTGGAAAAATTATTTGTGTCATGCACAAAGTAGATGTCCTAACCGACTTGCCAAAATTATAGTTTGTTAACAAGAAATTTGTTTTAATGACTCCAACCTAAGTGTATGTAAACTTCCGACTTCAACTGTATACAGTACCAGTCAAAAGTTTGGACACACCTACTCATTCAAGGGTTTTTCTTTATTTTGACTATTTTCTACATTATAGAATATTAGTGAAGACATCAAAACTATGAAAGAACACGTATGGAATCATGTAGTAACCAAAAAAGTGTTAAACTAATCAAAATATATTTAATATTTTAGATTCTTCAAAGTAGCCACCCTTTGCCTTGATGACAGCTTTGCACACTCTTGGCATTCTCTCAACCAGCTTCATGAGGAATGCTTTTCCTACAGTCTTGAAGGAATTCCCACATATGCTGAGCACTTGTTGGCTGCTTTTCCTTCCCTCTACGGTCCAACTCATCCCAAACCATCTCAATTGGGTTGAGGTCGGATGATTGTGGAGGCCAGGTCATCTGAAGCAGCACTCCATCACTCTCCTTCTTGGTCAAATAGCTCTTACACAGCCTGGAGATTTGTTTTGGGTCATTGTCCTGTTGAAAAACAAATTATAGTCCCACTAAGCGCAAACCAGATGGGATGGCGTATCGCTGCAGAAAGCTGTGGTAGCCATGCTGGTTAAGTGTGCCTTGAATTCTAAGTAAATCACTGACAGTGTCACCAGCAAAGCACCATCACACCACCACCTCCATGTTTCACGGTGGGAACCACACATGCGGAGATCATCCGTTAACCTACTCTGCCTCTCACAAAGACACGGCGGTTGGAACCAAAAATCTCACATTTGGACTCATCAGACCAAAGGACAGATTTCCACCGGTCTAATGTCCGTTGCTCGTGTTTCTTGGCCCAAGCAAGTCTCTTCTTCTTATTGGTGTCCTTTAGTAGTGGTTTCTTTGCAGCAATTTGACCATGAAGGCCTGATTCACATGGTCTCCTCTGAGCAGTTGATGTTGATGTGTATGTTACTTGAACTCTGAAGCATTTATTTGGGCTGCAATTTCTAAGGCTGGTAACTCTAATGAACTTATTTACATTTTACATTTACATTTTAGTCATTTAGCAGACGCTCTTATCCAGAGCGACTTACAGGAGCAATTAGGGTTAAGTGCCTTGCTCAAGGGCACATCGACAGATTTTTCACCTAGTCGGCTCGGGGATTAGAACCAGCGACCTTTCGGTTACTGGCACAACGCTCTTAACCACTAAGCTACCTGCCGCCCAACTTATCCTCTGCAGCAGAGGTAACTTTAGGTCTTCTGTTCCTGTGGCAGTCCTCATGAGAGCCAGTTTTATCATAGCGCTTTATGGTTTTTGCAACTGCACTTGAAGTAACTTTCAAAGTTCTTGAAATTCCAGATTGACTGAACTTCATGTCTTAAAGTAATGATGGACTGTCATTTTGTCTTTGCTTATTTGAGCTGTTCTTGCCATAATATGGACTTGGTCTTTAACCAAATAGGACTATCTTCTGTATTCCACTCCTACCTTGTCACAACACAACTGATTAAGAAGGAAAGAAATTCCACTAATTAACTTTTAAGATGGCGGACCTGTTAATTGAAATGCATTCCAGGTGACTACCTCATGAAGCTGGTTGAGAGAATGCCAAGAGTGTGCAAAGCTGTCAATCAAGGCATAGCGTGGCTATTTCAACTTTTTTGGTTACTACGTGATTCCATATGTGTTATTTCATAGTTTTGATGTCTTCACTATTATTCTACAATGTAGAAAATAGTAAAAATTAAGAAAAACCCTTGAATGAGTAGGTGTGTCCAAACTTTTGACTGGTACTGTGTATGTATATGGATGGATGGATGCTGAATTGGTTAAAAGTGCATTCCAGCCGGTGTCTATTCCCCAAGTTACCACCGGCTAAAGCTATGACGTTGAAATGCCTATTTACTCTGTTCAATCTCGCTGCGAAATCCACTGTCTCATCAGCCCAGCCAGGCTACACACAATACCCCATAATGACAAAGCAAAAACAGTTTTTAGACATTTTTGCAAAAAACTCACATTTACCTGAGTATTCAGAGTCTTTACTCAGTACTTTGTTGAAGCACCTTTGGCAGCGATTACAGCCTCCGGTGTTTGTGGGTATGATGCTACAAGCTTGGCACACCTGTATTTGGGGAGTTTCTCCCATTCTTCTCTGCAGATCCTCTCAAGCTCTGTGAGG